ACAGTGAATAAGGAAGACCGTAGAAGAATTGATGCTTTTGAGTTATGGTGTTGGAGGAGAATATTGAAAGTGCCATGGGCTGCCAAAAGAGCAAACACATCCGTGTTGGAAGAAGTGCAGCCAGAGTGCTCCTTGGAGGCCAGGATGGCCAAGCTTCATCTCTCACACTTCGGACATATTGTCAGGAGGGACCAGTCGCTGGAGAAGGCTATCATGTTTGGTAAGGTGGAGAGTCAGAGAAAAAGAGCAAGACCCCCAGTGAGATCGATTGGACCAGTGGCAGCATCTATGGGCTCAAGGGTGGCAACAATTGTGAGGTTGGCCCAGGATCGGGCAGTGTTTCGTTTTGTTGTGCATAGGGTCGCTATGAGTTGGTACTGACTCCATGGCACCTAACAACAACATATCTGAATTGGGTTCAGGGTGGTGTTGTCATGTGTGATATTGCAGATTGTTGTCTACTTGTTGGTTTTTAGTCCAAAGAACATCCTTTAGAACTTTTTGTAAAGTTGATCTTGATATTAAAAATTCTTTTAATTCCTGTTTATTAATTACCTTTTCTTCTTCAGAAATGTTTTCTAGCTCCACATCTTGGTCATTTGTTTGTGACATTTTCTTTTGTTTTTTTGTGTCAACTAAAAATTTCTGTTGACTCCAGGGCATTGTGGTGTTGTCGTATTTGCATTTAATTGATGATGGTATGTTGATGTGTTTTTAGGCTTCCACTAACTGTCTCCTGTGGCTGTAGTTAGAGGATGTAAGTGTGTGTTTTATTTTCCATTTGTGTGCCTCAGTTTAGGTAGTTTTTGGGTGGTGTTGGCTGCTGTCTAACATTTATCAGGTGGTATAGGAGCTGGGATTGGCTCTTGCCGAGTATGTGGAGCTGTAGAGAATATAGTTGAGGTGGGCTGTATGGTCATGGTTGCTGTCTCCTCTCTTGATGGCACGAGGAGAACCCCTCCACTCACCCTCACACACATCAGGAAGCAAAACAGAATAAACAAGCAAGCAACCAACAGTGAAAATAGCAAATAATAAAAGCTAAAAAAGAATTGAAGATAGGAAGCAACCAGAAAAAAATAAAAAATTAAAAGAGGGACTGGAAAATGGAGCTATAGAAATGAAAAAAATAAGAGAACATAAAAGGAAGAAATTTTAAAAAGTTTTTTCAGAAAATCCAGGGAGAAGTATGATGAAAAGAAAAAGAATGGAGACTAGTAAAGAAAGACCAACAGGGAAAAAAGAAGAGGGGAAGTGATAAACAGAAGAAAAGGAAAAACAAACACAGAGATAAAAGGATAAAATTCAAGGGAATGGTAAGAGATGAAGGAGAAGAAACAAACAACTAAACAATGAAACAACAAAATGGAAAAAAACCAAACCAAACCAGAAGTCAAAAAAGCAATATAACCGTTGGACCCAGAGAGGAGAAAACTCTGGGGTATTCTTGTAAGCCAAGGAACTCAGGAGGTGGGCGTAGGAGGGATGTGGCAGCAGAGTTCCTGGCACTAGGTTGATTTCCTATCAGCCTTGGTGCTATCTTTGTTCAGGGCACTCAGTCTAGATGTAGTTCTCTAAAGCCCTTGATGGAGAAGGTTTCATTGTCTGTGAGGAACACAGGGAAACTGGGGCAGGGCGACTGGTTAAATGCTGGTCTGGTGACTCTGTGGGTTCTGTAGGTCTAGAGCTGAGCCTGCCTGAATCCTGGAACTAATGTGGTGCACCAAAGTGGTACAGCTGGACCCCGCCTCACACAGGTGTGGCTCCCAACCACATGGCACTGAACTCCCAGAGAGCAGGACTGCACTGGGAGTGGATGAGGGTGGGAGCTGACCACACCTCTGGTTACCAAGGGAGCATGAGTAAAAGAAGGAATTGCATCTTTCTGGTTGCCTGTTGCGAATCTGATCTGCCAGGCCACCTTCTGTTGCCAAAGCTGGTCACAAAAATTCAAGATGGTTCTATCATCCATTCACCAGTCAGCCTCCCTTTATTGCCATCCGTGTTCAGCTTCTCTTCCCAGTAAACACTCAGACAGCTTCTCTAACATTTCCTCTGAAGTTCAGGGCCCTAGGATTTTCATCTGTGTCTGTTTCATTTGGTCGCTGTTATCTTTGTTGTAGAGGGTCCGTGTAGTACATCTGCTTAGTCAGCCATCTTGCCAGAAGTTCTGATTCCATTTTAAATGTTTTGAAATTTGGTAGAACAGACACATCTCATTTTATCTGTGTCCAGGTAGTCAATTAGATCACACATGTTTTTTAATGCTCGTGTCTGGCACTTAACGGAGTTCTGACAGACCACTGGGAAGCTGCTCTCCTGGGCAATAATGTACTTTGAAAATGGGCCAATATTTCTTTTTCTTTGATTTCAGTTTTCAGTACTTGGCTCAGTGTTGAACCCAGAACTCAAACAATTTCTGAGCCGACTTACTTGGGTGGATTAAGCATGGTTTTCTGTTACTTTTAATCACACAGGCCTTTGCACATCATTATTCTAGAATTTATAAATTTCTAAGAGCCAAAGAAAAGATCCTATTTTTACTTTTTGTCTCAAAAAGTGAGTATTGACAACATTTTAAACCAATTGACTACTAAGTAATGTCGTAGACTGCAGCGCATTAAACTATTTTCTTGCATTTAAAGTTGAAAATTCATTTTATTACATGTTTTCCTCAATGTTTAATATGTGCCTTTCAAGTCTATTTTGCAGCCCTTTAATTACATATAAAATTACGCAGAATATTTCATGAAGCTGGAATAATTTTAGCTTCGAACTACTTGAGAAAATGAAGAGCTTGCTCATTTCAGGTCTAACTAAATGCAACATAATTCCTTCCGTTATTTTGTTGGTCAACTTCAATGAAATATTCAT